AAATTTCTATGCTGTAAGCACCAGTTCAACCTTCGCTCCTTTTGTTCAGGTTTCATGATCGGTGATGGAATTCCTCGACATTTCTGCCAACCCATTGCATGCAGTTCAGTTCTAAGTGTCTCCTTACAGACAGCCACAGTTCCTCTATCAATCATATCCAGCCTTAAGTTTTCTAAACTCCTTCGTTTGTTTTTAGAAACAAGAATACCAAGCCGCCTCCTGTCACCGACAGTCAATTTTCTGGGCCTACCTGCGCCTCCATGTGCTCATTGCAATATCCATTTGCAATATTTTTCAAAACACGATAAACAGTGGACAAAGGGATGCCTGAAATCACTTTAGCTGATCTGATGTCCTTGTTATAATACTCTAAAATCAACTTCCTCTTCTCTAAATCATCCATACTGAGGATCACTGAAAATGTCGTCTGCTAGCAAGTAAACAAAGGGGGATAACTCTTCACAAACTAATGAAAAAGGATTAACGGAGTTGTCTCTCTTGAATGAACCCAAGCACTTGATAGTTGGTCAAGGTTGTTCATACTAGAAATCCAATTAAACATATTCCTAAAATTCTCAATAATTTCTGGTCATACTATATAATATAAAGTGGAATGAGCAGGCCTGTTGACTTCTAAACCGTATATTACGTATAAACGTACATTAAATAGGGTAATCATTGAACTCTGAGGGCCTTTAAAGCGAAAAAGGTAGTGAGGTTAGATACAAACTGTTTTAGTTATGATTATGCTGTATTTTTCTTAATATCACATCAGTCAAAACCCAAACACAGGACCGCTCCGTGGTGTAGTGGTTAGAGCGTCCGCCCAGAGAACCAAAAGGACGTTTAAATATGGTACTGGCGCGCGATATTAACAAGGGGTTTATGCACATGAAGTAGACCTTCCAGCTTTGCGAGGGAAAAATCAGGTCTGCTTCATGTGCATTTGACCAGGGTTATATCCCAAAACTTCCACATCCCAATACTACCACACATTGTTAAAACAACAACATCCCATCGCCCCTTTTTAGGCAATAGGATAGCCAAGGAAGTGCACTGAACTGAAACAACAGATAATGATACATCACCTGACTTAGCAGAGAAGAGATTTTAGTAGAGAAGAGAGCAGTTAGTTAATAAATCTGAAATATAAATACTCTCCCAAAAAAGAAACGCATCATGAAAATAGCAATTTCATGTAGCAATGAATTAACACGTGATTCATTTTACAAAAGGTTTTGCTCTGTTTATGAGTCCTAGGGTGTTTATGTTTTGAAACATCACAACAAAACGCACCATCCGTAAAATGCCCGTATTTAACTGCATGATTTTCAATTTCGGTGTGTAGTGTCACAGAATACACAATTCACATGCAATGCACGTGAAAGTTGGGGATCAGATAGTCTCAATGATGGGTATGAAAGGTTGATCGCTGTCTGTCGATTATTCACTATATTTGGAATATTGTTGATGAACGCAAAATGACACGTCTAAGTGAAGCCAACCGTCATATCGCCATTGGTTTGCTTGAAGCTGTCTCAACGTGCAGTTGCCCGACGCATGAATGTTCACCAAAGCACCATTTCACGGCTCTGGGAGAGATGTCGCCGGCAGAATGCGGTAGCAGATGCCCCTCGCCCCTCGCAGGGTACATCACCTGCGTCATCGAACAGCTACGGTGACCAGTACCGCTCGACAAATACCCGGATTGAGGAGGCTTTCTGCACAGACCGTCAGGAACAGGTTGAGAGAGGCTGGTTTACGTGCCAGGAGACCTTATTTTGGCCCTGTGCTTCGACAACAACATCATCGACATCGAGGTCAATGGTGCACCAACGTTCAGGTCTGGAACCTACCGAATTGGCGTAGAATCTGGTTCAGTGATTCTATTGGAAGTACGCGATAGAAGAATGCGGATGTACAGACGTCGACGTGAACGTTTCGCCAACACTTGCGTTCCCCAGGTGGACAGATGCGGCCGGGGAAGTGTTATGATGTGGGGTGTGGGTGTGTGGGGTGACGTGCAGTTCTGGATGCCCACGGTGGTCACACGAGGTATTGACTTCAGCGCCACCACACGTCTCCATGTGACACTCAAACTGACTTTCCTCGAGTTGGTGCCAAAGACGGATAAGTCTGCATTCCCAGTGTACAATTTCGCTTTATTTCATTGACTCATAAAGCCTACAAGATGTTTCAAAATAAACATTAAAATACAGTTGAAATTCCTATATGCGTTTCTTTTTGGGGAGAGTATATAATATAGATTCGTGCATATTTCAACAAGCCAAACAATTCTTTTCAATTCTGATTTGCAAATATAAAGTAATACGTAGCAAAAAATACAAAATGAGAATATGAATTGTATTATGATTACTTGAAGCTCTACTACCAAATATACTTGCACTACCAAATCCAGGCATAAACAAATAAATCAATTTTAATTAAATAAGGAAATTGATACTGTCGTGGTATGGACATTTACATTAATTGTTATGGCAGTGACACAATAACGGTAGTGACATTTTTAACAATAGCCAGTTTTATATGTTTACTTTAAAAGATAATTTAATGAAATTTGTCAGTCAGATATTTTAGAATGTTTAAAGAATATATAATAGGTAAAAGATTTACCTATGGATGTCCCTGTCATGTAAAACTCAGGTAAAGACTGCATGTTACGGCAGTGTCACTGTGACGGTATATAATGCTGCAACAACAGTATAGAGTGATAGGGTTATGACTGTCAAATGTGCGCGTCAAATATAGGACATAATGTTCTACTTAGGCTGTTATATGTAACTAGAAAAGATATGTATTTTCGTTAATATCCCTGCCTTAATAAAATATATAATTTATTACTAAGTGATTGTTTGTATTCATTACTGATTAATGGGTTAAAAGATTACAGACTGAGGTAATCAGTATGTTAAAGTGTGTGCAGTCAACCAGAAATGTTGTTGTTATAAGCTGTGGAAGTTTTGGGATGTGGACGTTTTGGGAGTCTTAAGCCAGTTATAATCATGTTGTTTCTTCTCAACTAATTCGGATAATCCGGATTACATGCCTGAGTGATCAACTGGTTAGGTTTATCGGTCTACCTTGCTTATAGACTGGTACATACAAAATGAAATCATATATATGTTCTTATACATTTATTTACATATTTACAACTCTGTACAATTCAAATAAATGGACGCTAGCACAACTTAAGGTTGAAAGAAGGTCCACGAGGGTGATTCGCCATTCTTTGGACGCCGTTTCAGAGCTAAAAGGGTCTCATCCAATCGGACATATTTCCTTCTCTTTGAGGGTGGTTTGCCTCCGGCTGTATATTGTTTCAATCTTGATTTAGTGGACATTGACTTTAAGAATGTGATGGCCTCAAAGATGTTGGGATGAGCCTTTCTGACGATGTTGTTCAGGCGACTATGCCTACGGTATCCTGCGAAGTGGCTGTTGGTCCGTGGGCCGATGGTTGGACTGGTGGGCTCGGAGTCAGTATCAGGTGTCTGAGTGGGGTATTCATGCTTAAGGTGTCCTCCCAAAAGTTAGACGTACCAAAAGTTAGACGTGTTAAAACAACAAAGGCTATGGTTGCTTGCACTGAGGTTCACTACACTGTTACCTTCGTTAATTAATGGACTAGTCCAAATGTACTAATCCAAACACAAAGAGAAGAGATAATGGATAATGACAATGACTCTATTTGACATAAAATAAAATAAGTTAATTCAACTAGATAATTCAAATGATCAATGGATGACTTTGTAATGACTTTATTTGGCATGAAAACAAAATAAGTTAATTTAACAATAGATTTAAATGATCAATCAAATCATTCAAGATTTAAGATTTCACGTCTTTCACATCATTCACTATACAGGCAAGAATGTCAACCAAGTCTGAGCAAATGCCCAACTTCATCGAGGAATTCCATGTTTGTCTTGTTTATATTGTATATTGTTTATGCTGGAAAACAATGTTAGGAAGGAAGTAACTCAAAAACATAAAACATCTATAATCCTGTTTTGATCAAAGTGAATTGAAAACAAGTATGCAAAATCTATAATCCTCTTATGATAAAATTGACATTGTGAAAACGCCACCACAGCTCATGGGATATTGGTACAGACTCCTGGGGTAGTGACCATTTCCCAATTCTTACACATATAAATGACAATCTTAGAGAAAAAATATAATTTTGATATAGCAAACTGGGAAAAATTCAAAATTTTGGTGGAGTAACACCACTCTTTCAGAATTTCTATTTTTGTTCCCCCTCATTTCTTAATAAGTGTACTACCCTGTCGCCGAAATACCTTATTTGTACGTGCGACGCTAAATAAAACAAATATCTAACTAACCATCTCGTTAGTGTATGGGACAGGTTCATTATATCAGTGGGTAGGGGTCATGTCCCATTAGTCTTACTCCCGCTAGGTATACGGCAAATGAGGGATTAATTAAAACAACAACAGGCATATACCCTTTGTGCAAAATGGACTAGCCCGCTAATTGGTGAGCTTGAGGTTAGTTTAATCTCTAACACTGAGAATGCCACAGTCCTGGGTACTGAAAACATATGAATGAATGTTATTACAGTAAATTACATTGAAGTTATATGACCATAATATTCCACAACCGTTGATAATCAAAACAATCAATGTCAAACTCTACTGAATTTGTTTACTCAATCTCGTAAAGAAACATAAACTAGTGCATAAAAGTTCCATGTTATAGACTCTAGCATATCACTCTTGTTATCATGGCAGGATTGATTAAAGTGGAATACGTCACCTCTAGGCGAGGTACACAACAGGTACTGTTTGAAGGTTACCTTCACAACCAGAATTCTACAAAGGAACACTGTATCCACTGGAAGTGTGTTTTTGAAGACTTGCCTGGGTAGAGTCACTACGGTTGGAAACCATGTCAGGAACTCCACTCCTCACAACCATGGCCCACAAGAACCTGACATTGTGAGATTCATCAGCAACATGAGGAAGAGGGCCAGAGAAGAGATTACCACAGTTCCAACCCTGTATCAGGAAGCAGTTGCCCAAGAAGATCCTGACGTGGTTCCTCACCTATCATCATATGCAAGCTTTAGCAGTGCCCTCTACCGACATAGGAGACACACCATACCAGCACTCCCCCAGACAAGAGGTGATGTGGAACTTGATGGGAAGTGGACAGAGACAGCTGATGGCCAACCTTACCTGTTGTTTGCAGATGGTGAATACGACGAAAAGATGCTAGTCTTTTCCTCTATGGATCAGCTGACTGTTTTGCAGTCAGCAGATAACCTGTACATGGATAGTACATTTTCATCATGTCCATCCCTGTGGAATCAGGTTTATATAATTCATGCCAGAAGAGGTTCGAAGACATACCCCTTGGTGTTTGCCCTTCTTCCTGATCGCCAGAGAACAACCTACTGCCGGCGTTTCCACAGGCTGACGGAAGAAGTACAGCAGAAGCTCAACAGAATCCTCGCTCCTGCCTCCGTTCAGATCGACTTTGAGCAAGCTGCCATTCGAGCTATCGAGACTGAGTTTCCTGCAGCCAAAGTGAGAGGATGCTACTCTCACTTCAGCCAAGCCATCTGGAGGAAAGTACAAGACCTTGGGCTTGCTGTCCAGTACCAGGGGGACCCAGACGTCAGACTCTGGGTCAGAAGAGCATCATCCCTGGCACTGTTACCAGAAGGTGATGTGCAAGATGCCTGGGTCGACGCCATGGACACTACGCCAGAAGTAGACAACGCCCAGAGATTTAATGACTACATTGTGACAACTTGGGTTGATGATGATGCAAGATTCCCCATCCCTCAATGGAATCACCACCGCAACGTTGGGCCTCGAACAAAGAATAATCTTGAAGTCTTCCACTATCGTATGAACAAGACTCTGCCACACCATCATCCAAACATCTATCGCTGTGTTGAGCTGATCAAGCAGATTGAGAAGTCTGAATCTGCCAAGATGCGCCAAATCGACTTCGGTGCTCCCTTCCAGGTAAGAAAGCGAGTGTATCGTGAAAAAAGAAAACAGACTTGTCCGATTGTGGGACCAACTTGAGTCAGGCCAGAAAAACTCAATTTCTGGATGCTGTTGGCTACCTCTACCCAACTGACCATTAATGGCGAACTGTGAATTTAAGCAGTTTAAGTTATAATAATGCTGAAGACAGAAGAAGAATTATGATTCAAGTGTCCAGTGCTTACAATATGTTAAAAGCACTATAAGTGCTAAGATAAGACATACATGTATATATATAACATAAAATATATTGTTACACATTTACATTTACATTTTAAGTGTACAGATTATGTATGTATACTTTGCTGAAAACAGAAGAAGAATGTTTTTCAAGTGTCTATTGAATATGTCACCATTTTAACATGTATACTTTGCTGAAGACAGATCATTAAAGTTCACTGATGTGAAGCTGTATATTTGTTTCTTGGATCATCACATTTTATTTCAAAGGTATTACAAAGGTAGTTGTTGGTGCAGTCAACCATACCATATGTTGTTTTAACCCGTATGACTAGTGGGACGTATGACTAATGGGAGGACACCTGGGTAAGACTAGGTTGTAATCACAGTCACGCCTGATTGATTTGTCTGACAATTGGGATGTATGACTTTTGGGAGTAGACCCTGCTTAACTGCGGCATGGTATCTCAGCGAGCTAGCACTATAAAACCAGCTGACGTATGGGCTAGTACAAGCAGCTGCACATACACATACATGCACATCGTCACATGAGTGAAATATTCTTAAGTACAACGTCAAACCCCATTTCACCTCACCTCACCTCACCTCACCTCACCCAAACAGTGTCCTGAGGTAGAACAATTTCAGCGAACTCAGTAGCTCCGAATATGTGTAACTGAATGACTGCAGTTTGGAACCAAATGATAAAATAAATTAAATAGTTTTAGTTGATTTGAAAAAGCGTTAGAGAATATTTTTACACCAACCTTTACATGTGTGGTGTACTATATAACCAGAGTCGTTTCGGGTAGGCTAACATTTGTAAATAAATTGAAAAATTATTCAGGAAACACGTTAGACGTGTTCACGCCAGGAGTTACAGCCAGCACACTCCCAGACATTTACGACATAGTCCAAATACCAGAGACGTGGGTGTTGACGAGACGTACGTATACAAGAAAGGAAATATTGGTGAATCAGTGGATACTGAAACATATATGATAATGGACGCATAACAGTTGGAATTGTTCGGGATCAACCTTGTTGCAGGCCACGTCACACCTTTCAGACAGTGCCGACTACCAGCGTCTAGACAAGTTTAATTCGTATTTCAGGCCACCAGGCAGCTTGAAATCGTGCTACAACTTCCTAGGTCTCAGTTTGAATAATAAACATGAAGCTATAAAGTACATTAATATCGCATGAGGTAAACAACTTTTTAATTGTACCTTTTAATATTTCTATAAGGAGGCAAGAGAACTATTTCTCATGTGAGTATGATTCTTACATGCAAAAAGACGAAGTATTCACCCTCTACTATATCAAGGTGGCAATCTCTACATACAGATTCTGTACGAGGTATATATAGCGCTGAGTAATCTTGACTCGGAAGATGGGTAAATATTCCATATGTACACATAGCCTACATACTTCAGGTTGCAATACAGATTTTATATCAACTCGATGCACTAATAATGCTGACGACTACACATATAGTCACAAACACATTGTTCTCACCATTATGTTGACATTGTGACACCACATACAGTCACAAACACATTGTTCTCACCATTATGTTGACATTGTGACACAAACAGTCACAAACACATTGTTCTCACCATTATGTTGACATTGTGACACATACAGTCACAAACACATTGTTCTCACCATTATGTTGACATTGTGACACCACATACAGTCACAAACACATTGTTCTCAACATTATGTTGACATTTGACAACACATACAGTCACAAACACATTGTTCTCACCATTATGTTGACATTTGTGACATTGTGACACATACAGTCACAAACACATTGTTCTCACCATTATGTTGACATTGTGACACATACAGTCACAATCACATTGTTCTCACCATTATGTTGACATTGTGACACATACAGTCACAAACACATTGTTCTCACCATTATGTTGACATTGTGACACATACAGTCACAATCACATTGTTCTCACCATTATGTTGACATTGTGACAACACATACAGTCACAATCACATTGTTCTCACCATTATGTTGACATTGTGACACATACAGTCACAAACACATTGTTCTCACCATTATGTTGACATTGTGACACCACATACAGTCACAATCACATTGTTCTCACCATTATGTTGACATTGTGACACATACAGTCACAAACACATTGTTCTCACCATTATGTTGACATTGTGACACACATTGTTCTCACCATACAGTCACAACAATCACACATTGTTCTCACCATTATGTTGACATTGTGACACATACAGTCACAAACACATTGTTCTCACCATTATGTTGACATTGTGACACCCATATACAGTCACAATCACATTGTTCTCACCATTATGTTGACATTGTGACACATACAGTCACAAACACATTGTTCTCACCATTATGTTGACATTGTGACACATACAGTCACAAACACATTGTTCTCACCATTATGTTGACATTGTGACATACAGTCCACATACAGTCACAACACAAACACATTGTTCTCACCATTATGTTGACATTGTGACACATACAGTCACAAACACATTGTTCTCACCATTATGTTGACATTGTGACACATACAGTCACAATCACATTGTTCTCACCATTATGTTGACATTGTGACACCACATACAGTCACAAACACATTGTTCTCACCATTATGTTGACATTGTGACACATACAGTCACAAACACATTGTTCTCACCATTATGTTGACATTGTGACACACATACAGTCACAAACACATTGTTCTCACCATTATGTTGACATTGTGACACCACATACAGTCACAAACACATTGTTCTCACCATTATGTTGACATTGTGACACATACAGTCACAATCACATTGTTCTCACCATTATGTTGACATTGTGACACATATACAGTCACAAACACATTGTTCTCACCATTATGTTGACATTGTGACACATACAGTCACAATCACATTGTTCTCACCATTATGTTGACATTGTGACACCACATACAGTCACAAACACATTGTTCTCACCATTATGTTGACATTGTGACACATACAGTCACAATCACATTGTTCTCACCATTATGTTGACATTGTGACACATACAGTCACAAACACATTGTTCTCACCATTATGTTGACATTGTGACACCACATACAGTCACAAACACATTGTTCTCACCATTATGTTGACATTGTGACACACACATACAGTCACAAACACATTGTTTCTCACCATTATGTTGACATTGTGACACATACAGTCACAATCACATTGTTCTCACCATTATGTTGACATTGTGACACATACAGTCACAAACACATTGTTCTCACCATTATGTTGACATTGTGACACACATACAGTCACAATCACATTGTTCTCACCATTATGTTGACATTGTGACACCACATACAGTCACAAACACATTGTTCTCACCATTATGTTGACATTGTGACACCACATACAGTCACAATCACATTGTTCTCACCATTATGTTGACATTGTGACACATACAGTCACAAACACATTGTTCTCACCATTATGTTGACATTGTGACACCACATACAGTCACAATCACATTGTTCTCACCATTATGTTGACATTGTGACACATACAGTCACAAACACATTGTTCTCACCATTATGTTGACATTGTGACACATACAGTCACAAACACATTGTTCTCACCATTATGTTGACATTGTGACACATACAGTCACAATCACATTGTTCTCACCATTATGTTGACATTGTGACACATATACAGTCACAATCACATTGTTCTCACCATTATGTTGACATTGTGACACATACAGTCACAAACACATTGTTCTCACCATTATGTTGACATTGTGACACCACATACAGTCACAAATCACATTGTTCTCACCATTATGTTGACATTGTGACACATACAGTCACAAACACATTGTTCTCACCATTATGTTGACATTGTGACACACATACAGTCACAATCACATTGTTCTCACCATTATGTTGACATTGTGACACATACAGTCACAAACACATTGTTCTCACCATTATGTTGACATTGTGACACATACAGTCACAAACACATTGTTCTCACCATTATGTTGACATTGTGACACCACATGTCACAAACACATTGTTCTCACCATTATGTTGACATTGTGACACACATACAGTCACACAATCACATTGTTCTCTACCCATTATGTTGACATTGTGACATTGCACATACAGTCACAATGACATTGTTCTCACCATTATGTTGACATTGTTACACATACAGTCACAAACACATTGTTCTCACCATTATGTTGACATTGTGACACCACATACAGTCACAATCACATTGTTCTCACCATTATGTTGACATTGTGACACATACAGTCGCAATGACATTGTTCTCACCATTATGTTGACATTGTGACACCACATGCAGTCACAAACACATTGTTCTCACCATTATGTTTACATTGTGACACAAACAGTCACAAACACATTGTTCTCACCATTATGTTGACATTGTGACACCACATACAGTCACAGACACATTGTTCTCAACATTATGTTGACATTGTGACAACACATACAGTCACAAACACATTGTTCTCACCATTATGTTGACATTGTGACACACATACAGTCACAAACACATTGTTCTCACCATTATGTTGACATTGTGACACATACAGTCACAATCACATTGTTCTCACCATTATGTTGACATTGTGACACATACAGTCACAAACACATTCTTCTCACCATTATGTTGACATTGTGACACATACAGTCACAAACACATTGTTCTCACCATTATGTTGACATTGTGACACATACAGTCACAATCACATTGTTCTCACCATTATGTTGACATTGTGACTCCACATACAG